GGAAAGAGAGAAAACATGGTGGCACAGTTAGGGATGAAGAAGTGAACTGGAATCCAGAAGCACAGGGAAGTGTGCGTATTTAAAGCTACTCAGGTATCTGGCTGACATCCACAGCTTCCCCACTGGCACATGGCGAACAGCAAAACGAACATTTTTTGTTGTTGTTGCTAGAAAAGCCAAGGGCTTTTCAAGACTTACCTGAAGGCATGTTTTTAATGAGCTACAGAGGTGCTATGCCTCTTTACAGGCCTTTGGGCAGGGGGACCGCTTATCCTGTTGCGTTTCTAGAGGCATGCTTTTGAATTACGTGAATGTTCTAATATCTGCTCTGCTTCCAGAGGAAAAAAACAGGCCCTTCACTTTTGACACTTTATTCTACGCACGTTAAAGGTTAAAAAAAATCCAGGGAGTTTTCTTTTTTACAATGGACCACAATGAACAGCAGGAAGGCTCCGATGAGGAAGCACAAGGATGAATACAGGCCATGTCCTGACTCACTCTGTGTAATCCGCCTTGAGTCCACATGAGAAAGGTGGAGTATAAATAATACGAAGAGCTACTTATGGAGCAGAGGTCCACTGGATAAACATATGGAGCAGAGGTCTATCAGTGGCTATTAGTCACAAGGTATAGATGGAACACTCTGTCTGGGGCAAGTGATGCTCTGTATTCTTAGTGCTTCAGGGGGAGGGCAACAGTGGGAGGGTTCCTGGAGTTCTGGCCCTGCTGGTGGACCTCCTTTTGGCCACCTGGGTTTTGGCCACTGTGTGACACAGGGTGTTGGACTGGATGGGCCACTGGCCCCAACCAACGTGGCTTCTCTTATGTTCTTACTTAAGGTACGCTCAGGGACTGGCCATGCCGACGGGAACTTTGGCGCTTCTTCTTCAAACAGTAGGCCGCCATGCTATGATGACATCACCTTAAGAAAAATCCCACTTAGCATATTTATGTGAAACGGGAACTGCTTGGGAAACACAACTTTGATACTCTCTCATACAGGCAGATTTAGACATGGAGGTCTTTGGACGTGGGCTCGATCCTGCAAGAAGTGCTTTGTGCAATGGAACTGTGCGAGGGTTTCAGGAGCTGCAATGAAGCCCAGTTTCCCTGGGGCATGTCCCTGTACAACACGGCACTGTTTACATGCATGCACGTGATATTTTTCAGGCACCAAAATTTTATGTGCCTTAAAACCAACGTGCATAATAAGGCTCTAACCAATTATAAAAACAGGTTGCTTACCTGTAACTGATGACCTTCGAGTGGTCATCTGTGCATTCACACCCATGGGATTCTGTGCGCATGCGCTGGATTGATCGGCATTGTAGCAAGCTCTTATAATGGATTTTCGCGCCCAGAGCTCGGGCATGTGCAGGAACCCTACCGCGCATGCCCAGAGGGGTGGGCGCGGACATCCCGCCAGTTCCTTCGAACCGCCGCGAATCAACCCCTATTGAAAATGTAGAAGCTGACAGCAGCGGGGAAGGAGGGCGGGTGGTGTGAATGCACAGATGACCACTCGAAGATCATCAGTTACAGGTAAGCAACCTGTTTATCTTCGAACGTGGTCTCTATGCTTCACACCCATGGGAGATTAGCGAGCAGTGGCCTACCTGGAGGAGGGTGCTGGCAGGTCCTTACTGCGTTGCCGAAGATAGAATGTGACATCCCATGTCGGTATTAGAGTTCTTACGGACATCCAGGGCGTAATGCCTCATGAAGGTGTTAGGTGTGGCCCAGGTAGCAGCCTTGCAGATGTCCGTCAGTGCACTCCCTGGAGGAAGGCAGTAGAAGCCGCAACAGCTCGGGTTGAATGGGTCTTGATGGGGCCAGGCAACGGCTGCTTTGCAATCAAGTAGCAGAGGTGGATGAGACCCGCAATCCACTTTGAGAGGCGTTGAGCCGTGATGCGAGTCCCCAGCCTTGCTGGTGCGTATGAGATGAACAGTTGGGAGTCACGTCTCATTGGGCGGGTTCTGTTGAGGTAGAACAGTAGTGCCCTTTTGACATCCAAGGTATGTAACAGTCTGTCCTCTGGGGATTTCAGAGCTGGGAAGAAATCCGGGAGGAAGACCTCTGCCTGTAGGTGGAACTCTGACACTACCTTTGGCAGGAACGAGATGTCAGGGACGAGGCGGACGCTGTCTGGCAAGAATGACAAATGGCGTGTCATGCCGGAAAGCCAGTATTTCTCCAACTCGCCTTGCAGAGGTGATGGCCACCAGAAAGGCCGTCTTCCAAGACAGGAATTTCATATCGCAAGTTGCGAGTGGCTCAAAGGGTTTCCTCGTAAGTTGACGAAGGACTAGAGGAAGATCCCAGGGAGCGACAGGAGTCTTGACAGGAGGGCAGAGCTGTAACAAACCTTTTAAAAAACGTTTCAAAAGTGGATGTGAAAACATGGTGCATCCGTCGACGTGAACATGGTAGGCCGAAATTGTGGCCAAATAAACTTTTAACGATGAATAGGAAAGTCCCGAGTCAGCTAGGGACAGGAGAAATTGGAAAACTTTCTCAAGGCCTGCGGAGGAGGCTTGAGGGGCATCATCACCTAGGGAAGAACAGAATCATTGCCATTTATAATGGTAGGACCTTTGCGTAGCAGGTTTCCTGGCATTCAGTAGAACATTGGCTACGCGGGTTTAAAAACCTTTGAAGTTATTCTCCACGCCGTCAATTTCAAGCGTGGTACGTCGTGATGTAGGAGAGGGGAGTCTGACAAGAAGAGGAGGTCCTGTACCGGAGAGAATTGGTGGTACATTCCCCTTGACAACTCGAGGACTGTAGAGAACCATGGTTGTCTCGGCCGCCACGGTGTTATCAACAAGCAGTCCGCTCCATTTCGGATGATCTTGCGTACCACTCTCAGAAGTAGGGGTAAAGGAGGGAAAAGGTACAGAAGGCCGGAGGACCAGGGAAGAAGGAGACCGTCTTCGAGCAATTGTGAGTCCCTGCCGCCTCGACTGCAGAACAGGGGACATTTTTTTGGGTGGTGAAAACATCGACTTGGGGAGTTCCCCACTTGCTGAAGAGCGGGAAAAGATAGGACGGGTTCTTCTCCCACTCGTGGAGACTGATCCTTGCTCGACTTAAATGATCTGCCTGCACATTCAGGTGACCTGGGATGTGTGTGGCTACCAAAAAGATGTTGTGAGCAATGCAAAAGTCCCATAATTGAATGGCGAGGCTGTAGAGACGTAGGGAGACCATGCCTCCTTGTTTGTTTATGTAACTGAGCACGGTGGTATTGTCCGTGAGGACCGTAATACATTTCCCTTTGATCATTGGTAGGAAACTCGTGACCGCGAACTGAATTGCGAGCAGTTCCAGGAAGTTTATGTGTCAACCTTGCTCGTGGGTGTTCCACTTACCCCCGACGCATAGACCCATCATGTGTGCACCCCATCCCGACAGGGAAGCATCTGTGGTCAGGGTGATATGGGATGACAGAGGGTGGAAGGGTGCTCCCTGGAAGATATTGGAAGGGACAGTAGACCAAAGTAACAAGTCTCGTATGTTGGGAGGGGGGGATAGGATGACAGTGTGAGCGTTGTTCGCTGGGTTGTAATTCCGGATGAACCACAGCTGTAAACAACGCATTTTCAGTTTGGCAAAGACGAGAACCGACATAGTTGCAGCCATGATGACGGCGGCGATGACGGCGGCGGTGAGCATTGATTCGGTGTGGACGGCGTGGCGGCAGGCGGGGGCAAGCGGAGGAACGCAGCCGAGCGATCCCTGGTGGCCAAGTGAGAGTACACCGAGTGCTGCCGTCGAGAGGAAGGTGGCGTGCGAGGATGCCGAGCACCGGCTCAAGTGGAGCCAGAAAGGACGTTGCTGGGCCGGAAGCAGGCAGAGCCGCGCGCCTTAGAAAGAAGACAGCCACTTCCGGAAACGCCGGGAAAAGAACACCCGCCAGTCCAGAGACCCGACCCGAGCCGAAACAACAACTACAACCACCACCATAAGGGGTGCCGGTAGGTTGCCCCATCCCCATATACATACTGTGGCGCTAGTTAGGGGGAAAACGGTGATTAGCACCAAAAATCTGTAAGCCGCTCAGAGACCCCTAGACAAGGGGTTCGAGCGGGATATCAAATTGAATGTATAAATAAATAAATAAATAAAATAAATAAGGCCAAGTAGCCTTTGGATTCGGAAGGTAGTGACAGAAGGGTGGGTACGGACGACGGTGGCTAAGGAAATGATGTCTGCCGCTCTGTCTTGAGGCAGGTAAGCCATGCATGTCGTGGAGTCTAGTATAGCGCCGATGTACTTTATTCTTTGGACTGGATTCAATTGAGACTTTTCTCGATTGACTTGTAGGCCCAGATCCTTTAGTAGTGCCAGTGTCTCGGTGATGTTTGAGACCAGGGCGTTCTGAGAAGGCGCTACCAAAAGCCAATCGTCAATATAGGGGTAAATGGAGATACCCCGGAGATGAAGGAAAGCCGCAACCACAATCATAGTCTTTGTGAAGACTCTTGGGGCGCTGGACAGGCCAAATGGCAGGGCTGCATACTGGTAATGCTGTTGACCAATCGCGAAGCGTAGGTATTGGCGGTGGGAAGGGTGGATGGTGAGGTGGAAGTATGCGTCTTAGAGGTCGAGGGTGGCCATCCAGACATGTTTCCGTAGGAGTGGCATAATTTGCTGAAAGGACACCATGTGGAAGCGATGGTAGGTTACAAAACAGTTCAGTGCCCTCAGATCTAAAATGGGTCGAACGCCTCCATCTCTCTTCGGGACTGTGAAGTATCGGAAATAAAATCCCATCCTGTGGAGGTGTGGTGGTACCTGTTCGATGGCTCCCTTCTGCAGAAGGACGGACACCTCTTCCAGGAGAGGTGGGGAAGGGGGTGTGGAGACGACGACAGGAGTAATGGGGTTCTGGTGAAATTGGATACGGTAGCCTTGGGTCAAGATTGACAGCACCCATTCATCCGAGGTGATGTGACGCCAAGTATGGAAGGGTGATAGACGGGTTTGAACTGACTCGGTG